CAACAGTATCACCCTGTGTGGACCGTGTGGACTTGATGGGACCGGCTCGAAGATCGGCGGTGGTGCCGATTGGATCATCGAGCGTCGTTTGATTTTTGCAGACCGGTGCAGATGAGAGAGCGTCTGGAGCGACACACAGCTCGACCATTTTTTCTTCCATGGCGGTGACCCGAGAAGCCTGATCTCCCAGCGCCTGACTGAACGCCTGCAGCGTAGAATTTAACGCATTTAGGGTGGACATGACTGAGGGCGAGTCCGCTATGGCTGCTGCGGCTGCTTCCTCGAGAGCAGTGCCAGCGTCCGCACCATCTGACTTTTGGCCGGCAGTATCGACCTTATGACCATCAAAATCAGTGATATTTGGATCCCCAATATTCAGAGGATGTTCCTGTTCATCTTTTTCCAGGGATTTAGACATAATTGTACCAGACCGAGTTGCAATAGGCATTACAGGTTTCAGAGTAAAATATCCAGGCAATGGGAACAGTTACTTTGATTTCTGACACCAATGTTATGTTCTCCGCCAGTGGCGGGAAAGAGAGAGATTCCGAGCGAATGCTTTATTGGTAATGTAATGCGGAATAAGTAACAATTATAGCTGAACAAAACAAATACATACCCCACTCGGGTCGCCGCCCGATCTGCCACCCGCTTAGCCCGAGGATGGCAGGGACGAGTGACGGGATCACTCGTGCCGGGAGAGGAAGCAGCGCGTGACCGGATCACGCGGCTGCCAGGACAGGACTGCCCCTCCGCGCTGCGGCCGGCTCGGCGTCAGCGCGGTCGGGTCGAGGTCAGGGAGGGCTGGCGCACGGGGGTTCGCCCGGCGGACGGGAGGGCTGGCACCCGGGGGTTCGCCCGGCGGGCGGGAGCCATGGCATGGCACCGCGCGGCAGGCACACGACAGGCACAGCGAGATACACACTCGCGATAGTTAACACACATAACAATACCTTTCAGTTCTCTTTGCTGTTCCGTACTTACCTCAATGGCGGGCTTACTCAGAGACTGTGCCGAAAATGTTTATGAATGTTCACGTCTTGTATGCCGTCTTTTCTCAGGGAAATCGACGTTGATGGGGCATCTATTATATCAACTGGGCTGTGTTAATAAAAAAGTCATGCACAAATATGAAACGGAGAGCAAGAAGATCGGTAAACAGTCGTTCAAGTTTGCGTGGGTGCTCGACGAAACTGGAGAGGAGAGGTGAGCAAACGTTCCATAGCGTCTGCATGCCAGTCCGCTAGTTACCCCAGCTTCATTTGTTGTCACTCTACTATCCGGTGTATCTAGTGATATTAGCGCACATATTCAAAAGCCAGCGTTCGATCACTATATAACGGAACGAGCTAGGGCTGCATGCATATGTAGACGTTGCACAATAATTAAACGGCGCGAGCCATATGAAGCTTAAGCACCGCTTTGTGAGTGTTAACTTTTCTATCAGAGAAGCCGAGAACTGACCCTCCATCATATTTTTTTTTTTTTCAGAACGCGTGGTATCACCATGGACGTTGCGCACTTCAAGTTCGAGACGCCTCAGAAGACAGTGACTCTGCTGGATGCGCCCGGCCACAAGGACTTTATCCCCAACATGATCACCGGTCAGTGACCGCATGCTATCGTGCGTGGAACATCGTTTTGATACCCGATGCAATAATCGTTGCTTGACATGCATTACTCAGAAGGACCTAAAAATGTAGGTAGGTAACTGACGACAGCTAGGGAGGATTTCCATCAAATCAGTTCTACCCTTTACTTGACCTCAATCGTTGACCTTGAACTGACTGAGTCGTCTTTGTGACCGTGACCCCACCTGACCTCGTTTCCCTCCCGACACAGGCGCGGCGGCGGCCGATGTGGCTGTGCTCGTGGTAAACGCCACCAAAGGAGAGTTCGAGACGGGTTTCGAGTCGGGCGGCCAGACCCGCGAGCACGCCATCCTGGTCCGGTCACTCGGTGAGTGATTGGAGGGGGGACATAGAGATCAGTGTATCGATCGGTGGACAGTCTCTGTAGAGTGTAGAATGAATATTGGTGGATCGTGCGAGTATGAATACTGAACACAATCAGGTAGTATCGTGCATAGGTTTCACAATTCACATTGATATTTTTTCGTGGGACTAAACAAGCTGGACAGCTGGTTTAGCGAAATTTGCATTCGTTTCCTTTGGACTATGGTTCCTCTCTGACCCCCCTATGACTTCCTCTGACTTCCACTCTGACCCCTCCCCCTTCCGACTCCCTCCGCCCTCAGGAGTGAGTCAGCTGGCGATTGCCGTCAACAAGCTGGACACGGTGGGCTGGAGCCAGGCGCGGTTTGACGAGATCCGCGGCCGGCTCGGCACCTTCCTGCGCTCTGTGGGGTTCCGGGAGAGTGAGCTGCGGTACGTGCCGTGCTCGGGTCTGACGGGGGAGAACCTCACCCAGCCGGCGCAGGAGGCGGCGCTCACCGCCTGGTACAGCGGGCCCACACTGCTGCAGGTCATCGGTGAGTGACTGGATGGGTGGAAGGTGGGGACGCGATCGGTGGGGTGTTAGACAGGTGACACCAAGTGTACCTATGTGGAAGTCGTGACATGAGAACGGGATTTACTTCAGGGATAGAACTCGTGGATGAGTCGCAAAGATGAGGTTAGGGCCTAGTGGACGGTTCCCTGCACATCATATGTGCTGATGAGAACTACTGGTTCCGTGAACTATACCGACTTTGTAAACCTTACAGACTCGTTCCCGGCCCCGGAGCGGGCGGTGGACCGGCCGCTCCGGCTGGTCGTATAGTTCCCTGTAGTAACATCTCACTCCCCCTCCCCTCAGACTCGTTCCCGGCCCCGGAGCGGGCGGTGGACCGGCCGCTGCGGCTGTTCGTCCAGGACGTCCCTCTATAACGCCCCTCCCTCCCTACCACAGACTCGTTCCCGGCGCCGGAGCGGGCGGTGGACCGGCCGCTGCGGCTGTTCGTCCAGGACGTCCCTCTATAACACCCCTCCCTCCCTACCACAGACTCGTTCCCGGCGCCGGAGCGGGCGGTGGACCGGCCGCTCCGGCTGTTTGTACAGGACGTGTTCAAAGGCCAGCAGCAGTCGGCGCTCAGCATGGCCGGAAGAATTGATGCCGGCATGCTGCAGGTGGCCGATAAGGTCACCGTGATGCCTCACGGGGAGACGGCCACCGTGAAAGGTCAGTGACCGGTCATTGTGGCGGGGAGAGGACGTAAAGGGGTTGCCGTGGTGGGAAATTGAAGGGCAAGCAGCGCTATGTTGGTGGCCGTAGTGGGCAGCACGGGAGGGCAGGGGACGGCGGCCAGGTCATCCTGTCGGTCATTCCGGTCTTTTCTTTGTCGGCCTACGAGGATTGTATGTTCATTTTGGCTTTAAAGCCACTGCATGCTGTTCAGTCATTCATGATTGCTCAATTTTCGCTTACTTTTCCTTCAGCCTGAGTTGACAGTAAATAAAACCGATGTGCCGGTATTGTTTTAGTCACTTTCTCCGAACTGATTTGATTGCTTGCAGCTCACCGCCTGACCCCTCCCCCCATCTTTACAGGTATTTCCATTGACGAGATGCCGGTGCAGTCGGCGTTCGCCGGGGACCACGTGACGGTCACGCTGTCCGGAGTGGACCCGCAGAGTCAGACGGTCGGCGTGGTGCTCTGTGACCCCGGTCAGCCGGTCAAGGTCACCACCAAGGTGCAGGCGCGCATCGTCATCTTCAGTATTGACCTGCCCATCACTAAAGGGTATCAGGTGTGTTGGGAAAGGGGAGCAGCTCGGGAAGGTCGTATACGTGTATGGGATGGTGTCAGTCATTGTTCGAATGAATTTCAGTCACTGGTACGTTGTATCGGAGATCAAGTCGAATTGTTATTTTGTATCGCCATATACCGTTTACAGAGGCATACAGACGCCTATGCTATCGCCCCTTTTCTTCCCGACGAGGAGCGCACCCGGTAACTTGAACTGCCCTCATATGTGATGACCGGTGCAACATGTATTTCCATCCGTTGACATGTATTTCCGCTCCCTCAGGTGGTGGTCCACTACCAGTCGGTCAGCGAGCCGGCCACCATCACCCGGCTGGTGTGTCAGCTGCACCGCTCCTCCGGGGAAGTGCTCAAACAGAAGCCGCGCTGTCTGCCCGGAAACAGCAGCGCCGACGTCATCATCACCTTCCAGCGACCCGTCTGCGTGGAGCTCTATAAGGACTTCCGGGACTACGGCCGGCTGATGCTGCGGGTGGCGGGGCACACGGTGGCAGCCGGACTCATCACCGAGGTGAGTCTAGGGAGGCGTGTTTTTGGACCTGATGGTGGGTGAGGTATGATATTGCATCGTGTGTTGTCGGCGTTGCCGGGCCTTCAGAGTGGAGGTGGGCGTGAGTTCTGGCCCGACAATGATGGTGACTTGTTTGATGGCACCAAACGGTGACAACCACGCTCACATTTCACAAAAGAATCGGATTTACACTTATTCGTTCATAAAACTCACTCGCTTCTCCGTGTACCCTTTCTCACCGACCCCAAGTGTTATTTCGGGTGTCTAACCAACCGGGCCGTGCCCGCCGTCTGTCGCCAGGTAAAATGATGCGGCCCCGCGCCGCTCGCTCCGGCTAGGTGAATCGGATCGAATGGAAGCGGGGACGCGACTGGGCGGCCCTTTGGGAACCTATTTATATAATGTCGGGGGGCCGCGGAGGCGCCGGACGGGCGGGCGGCCTGGCTGTCTGTCTGCCGTGGTGCGGTGCTGATCTGGTTTTGTTGATATTGTATATTGCCTTAAAATATACACAGAGCTTTTATCATCTCGTTTTGTGAGGTGGGGGCTGGTTGGAACTTGGGTCTACCAGAGGTGTTGCGTCTTGTCGTACATCTTCATCTTCGGTGTTGGAATTTCAAGTCTCACACGAAACAAAGTTACGAATTATTCAACCGATCACACCTATTTGTAATATCTTGTTCAAGAATCGTTTTGCTCGATAGTGGGCGTCCGCAAACGAAGATTTGCCGAATCTATGGATGTCATATATTATCAAACATTTGTTTTTGGTGCTCTTCAACCGAACTGAAGTCGTGCAAAGCGGAGAATGGCCAATGGGTGACCCGAAAATAACACTCAATGATAGGATAAATGAATGAAACAGTCACATAAATATTTCGTTTCCCTTTCCGACAAATATCATGGAGATCGCTTAAAAACGCAAAGGGAAAACCGAAGAAGCGTTGGGGAACAAACGAAATTTGATACTGGAACATAGTACCCATAAGTGCGTATTCCAGAACCGGCTGAAAGGAACGCAGTACAAATTCATCCTTCGCAAGGAAAATATTTCGGCGCCAAAGAATCCGCCGGGAACACAATACCAAGTGCACAGTTTTTCTTGTACCATGGGCATGCTATCAGCAATTGTTCGTCGCACGCTGGTCCACTCTCGCAAACGGTTCCGCACGACGTGTGACGCTTAAATACGATCGGTTGTAAAAAGACACTCGCACACGCAGGCACCCCGTTCGGCTCGCCTCATCGTCACAGAAACACTCGGGGTTTCACCACGCGCCATGGTGCTGTCAGTTCAGCCCTCGATTCACTGTTCACTCGCTCTCCACATTGTTCACTTAGTTCACCACTTCGACACCAAACTAGCCCACTGCGTGTCTCCGAGTTGGCACTCAGCAACGGCAAAGGTTCTACCCATGCCGGAACACAGTTTCCTCTGTTCAGCTGGCATCATCGCCCTTCCCAACGGAAACCAGACGCCACACCGCGATGATCGCACCACATCGGACAGGTCGTAATCCCTCAGGAAAGAAGCCACGCTCCTCGAGTCGGCTGTTCCGATAGTCATCCGCGCCAGTCTGTGGCGTCATGCGGTAGCCCAACATAACGGAACTCGTCCCCTGGTCTTCTGCACTGCCCTTGTCGATCTGTCCCACCACACCACGCCGTGGTCATAGCGCAGGTACTTCATGAAGACGACAGCTGGATCTCCCGACCGACCGATTGGTCAAAAACTAGTCACGGTGTGAGACCAATGTCACAGAGCACCGATACAGTCCTCGCCGGCGATTAGTTTATAAAAACTCGCCGGAATCCAGCCGGCAGCCGGTGCACCGCGCGTGATCGTCGAGAGCACTGAGTGACGTCACCCAGTAGGTAATGCGACGTTATCCAGCAGATGATGTGACGTTACCCCAGGTGATATGCCGTCATCCAGTAGGTGGTGTGACGCCATCCGACAGGCGCTATGACGTCATCCGGCAGGTGATATGACGTCAGCCACCGTCAGACAGCTCGGGCGCCGGCCGCAGGGTGCATCACGCAGGGAGGGTGAACGGGTGACGATGGATGGGTGTGTGACGGGTGAGAGGGGGGTGAGTTAGGAGCTCTCCTGCTGAGCGATGTACACCTGCTGACCGCCAGCCAGCTGCACCGCCTGCTGACCCTGCCGACAGCGGAGAGCGGGACGTTACAACGGGAAAAGAACACGAGCATCACATAATACTAAGAACACGGGGCACGGGCAGTGGAAAAGATCGGCGGATAGACCAGGTACCGAATACAAACAATACAGCAGAACGCTGACTGTAGCCACACATAGCGAACACCAACGGCATCGGCGCACCTTATACGGAACCCAGCAACGGACTAAGGGAGGTAAAATATCCGAGCCTGACTAGCCCGACTCACCTGTCCGGGGGGCTGCAGCACAATGGTCTGTTGACCGGTGGTGTTCTGGCCAGCCACCCGAACCATCTGTAGCTGGCCGGCGTTCAGCTGCACCTGAGAGACACACGGACCCAGAAGATAAATCGTGAACGGGACAGAGCGGTCCAGCAATGAAGGAAGAAGACGCTCGGTACGACATTGTTAATAGAATTAGAAAGTTACACGGCCGTGCATTAGAAAAAGAAAATACAGCGAGCCCACGGCTTGGGTGATTCGAGAAAATTGACACAAATAGACGGCTAAGCTACGAGTACGAACATCACTTAGACAAACTTACGTCATGATAAAACGTCAATAATCATGGTATGTACTTCCCAAACCAACTTATCACCTAATCGCTATCCTTTCCGTCCGTTCCATCCCTCACCCCCTCACCCTTGCCTTTGCCACCCCCGAACTCACCGGTATTTGCTGCACCTGTCCGTCGGCGCCCATCACCTGCTGGATGATCTGCACGCTCTGCTGCTGCTGCGCCGGCGACTGCTGCTGCTGCTGCTGCTGCTGGGCCGGCGCCGGCTGCTGCACCAGCTGCCCCTGCGCGTTCACGTGCAGGTGTACCGTCTGTACCCCCGACTGGCCGCTGGTCGGCTGGGGAGGAGGAAAAGGATGCGTCTCAGACTAGGAAGCATTGATGGCGATGTAGGATTGACTGGACGGCGAAATAAACCAATGACATGCAACACAACCGATCAGACTAACTAAAAAGCTAGCACTTTTATCGCTGGGCAGGTTTTAACCGAGATACACAAACAACGCAGTGTGAAAATCATAGAACGACAAAATTAGTTCACACCAATTTACAAATCGTATTACGCGTAAAATCAAAGAAACAATACCGGTACTATATGAGAAATGCGAGGCAGGGCCTTACCGCAACACAAGACGGACAATTTCCCCTACAGCACCCAACCATCCCTCTCCGGTCCTCCGTACCTCTGGCGTGGCGGCGGTGCCCGACGTCGGTATGACCTGAATGGTCTGCACCTGCCCGCCGCTGATGATCTGAATCGACTGCGGCTGCTGGGACGCTGACGTCGCCGCCGTCACCTGCTGCTGCTGCTGCTGCTGCTGCTGCTGTTGTTGTTGTTGCTGGAGGGCTGCCTGGTGCTGCTGAGCCAGCTGGAAGTAGTACTGCACCTGCCCCAGGCAGGCAGAAGTTACGCAACATGCCAATAAAGTGTTCTTCAAGCGCTGGACTGGTCAGGCAGCACATGGGAGCGGCTATATCGCTACATTAGGTTCGCTAAGTAGTAAGTACCGCACCTCCGGTTTATGCTGACGAGAGGAATCATATTGCTCGGAGTCAGAAAAGGAATAATTTCACAGCGAGTTGTTTGAGTTATATCGCCCATTTTCATTTTAGGCAAACAATAGAGGTTACTAAAAAAAAGTGGTAAGCGGAAGCACTCTTCTTAATTTTTAACTAGCTCAAATGGAGTAACAAAAGCCGGTAGATATGCCACGAGTCGCCCTACCCCCACCACCGTCACTGACTACCCCGCTGTCCCGGCGCTCCGCCGGCGGGAGGTACCTGGTCGGGCAGGACGCCTCCGCTGCTCTTGGTCTCCGACTGGCGCGCCGGCTGCTTGTTCTCGTCACGGGGCACGATGTCGATCAGAAAGTCAAACTGATCAAACTTGGAGATGGCCATGGCGATGTCGTTGCGCTGGTGGAAAAAACGACGAGTTACTCCGGAGAAAAAATTTTATTGATGATCAAACACTATTAAAACACGGATAAAACACATGACGAACACGTCACCCGTTGCACCGATTAAAAGCATAAAAATAGTGTAAATACATACATAGGTGCTTAAAAAGGGCGGACAAATGACACATGACAATTCCACGACACACGATAAAAAAACGCGGGTTTGGCCAACAGCCCCCGGAGAGCAGGGAGTGTGTGCTTCGAGTTGCACCTGTGCGCCTACCGTTCACAGCGGTTCTGGAGCAGCGCCGTGGTCGCGGATGCTCTCACGCATCTCTGCGAGGAGCGCGGCATATGCGGTCAGCGCATTGGGGCGCGGCGGTCGGGGCGTGTCCTGTGCCAAGCTGGGAGAGAGGCATAACAGCTTCTCGGCGAGCTGCTGCGTCGTCGGCGAGTCCGCATCCGTATCGGTGGAGACTCGCGGCGGGGCAGCAGGTAGTAGGCCAGGTCTGGGTCATCTAGGGGGTTTCTGCTAGGCGCCTCACTGCGACTCCCTGCAGATGGACGGACTGGCAACACTGGACCGGGTCGCAAAGCTGTCGCTGAATCCTTGCTGCAGCCGACGCTGCAGTTCCCTTCGCCAGTGTTGTCGCAGCCGTCGCTGATCTCACCAGTGCTTCTGTCACCTCCACCGCCGCCGCTTCCTCGGCCGCTGCCGCCGCCGCATTCATCGCTGCTCTCGCCGCAGCTGCTCCTGCTGCAGCGGTCCACGTCGTGGCTGTTTCCACGGCTGTCGCCACCGCTTCTGTCAAAGCTGGTGACAGCAGTTCTGACGTCAGGTCTGTCGTGGGCTCCCGCTAATCGTATGGCCGTGGCGTTTCCGCGGACCACTGCCACCGATATCCGCTGAATGAGGCGCTCCATGTCCCGCCGGTCTCCGGTTACCTGCACGATGCGTCGGCCGAGGTCCTTTAAAAAAGAACAGCTGTCCGAGCCCAGTGCTCCGGATGTTTTCACGGCGACCGGGCGGAACAGATAGCGCCGACTGATGGCCTCATACCGCCGGCGTTTGCGTCCCTCGGCGGCGGTCGCGGCTGCGCTTGCCCGGGCTGCTGACGCGGCGACTGATGAGGCGCTGAATGTGTCCACACAGGTAGCATCCCAGACGAGGCACTTCCCTTCTGCGTAGGGGAAAGCTGTGATGCCATCCGGGCGTCGTCCATCACCGCGGAGAAATGGCTATGTCATGCTTTGTTCAGAACCATCTCTTCCATTGTGATATATCTACGCATATTTATGAGACGTGTCCAAAGTAATAGCTCAAAGAAACAAAAGTAGATGAGCATTGATGAATAAGTCACACATCAAATTAACTCTAAAATGCTAACAGCTAAAACTAAGCCCATAAGCTCTGCTAACCTGCAGTGTTCTGCGTTTGTTGTCCTCTGTATGGATCCAGGCTCGTAGTGACAGCTCGTGAATAAACATCTCCGCCGCCTTGGAGAAAAGCAGTGGCGCCTCTGCAGAGATCATCTTCACATCCTCGTCCAGCTTCATGATCTTCTTGATACGAGCCAGGGGAAGCTCCTGCTGCTTGAAATCGTTCTGAAATGGTAAAAATGTACATCAGCCCATCATAAGCCCAAAAGCTCACGAGGCATTTCCTGTCAAGGCAACTTCATTTGACATCAAGTTGCTGTTGAATCATCAACAATACCAAATTCATGAAATGTATTTTATCTAATCCAGCCAAAAAGCAGTGAAATGAAAGCAGCTGAGCAGGATATAAAATGCTAATATTGTCATGCTTGTATTTTCACAACACAGCCATAGGCACTCACCACCGACATGTTCTGTATCTGTTCTGTCATTTTGGGCCAGAACTCATCCAGCGCCAGCTGAGACTCTGTGGCCAAACCGACCTCGGCTCCCACCAGGTCGTCAGCCATAGCGCCAACTCACTCTTCAGCAGCAAGCTGTGAAGACAGTGCCATTCTGTAAGGCTTGCAGAAGATTCAAATTCAGGCTCCCACCAGTCTGAGACTGAGAGTCCAACACTACCAACTGAGCTACAGGACTGAATCATTCAGTCAGTGTTGCTTTGTTGAAACTCATAAAAATTATTATTAGCAAACTGAAGCATGCTATCTCCAGATCTATCAAGTTCTGAAATCTGACTAATGAGCGAGCAAGCGAGTTTATCTGTTGGGTGTTCATCATTATGCACAGTGATCTTATTGCGACGACACTATCGCCAGTCTCGAGGTCACAGCCCGTCACACCACCTCTAGCCATATTCACGGTATATGACGCCTGCTTTACGACTACCCCCATCAGGAGTCATGAATACTGAGAGCTGGTATGACTTGAACCCAGTTGAACAAGCACTTCGTGCAAATCTTGCACTGTTTTATCATTCTTATTAAAATTATTTTGACAGCCTGACAAAAAAACAGTGCATTGATTTTGCCAAAATTCACAACAAATAGCCAAGTAACTAAGCAAATATCCATATTCCATAAACACAATAAAAAATATGCTGAAAATCAACGAGGAAACATCCCCACCTACCACTCTTGAAAAATTTACTCCAGCAGCCCAGAACTCTTGGAAAATCCTGCAAAACAGTTCCAGCATCAAACCCCCAAACTGAAACGTACTCCAATTCTAATTAATTTACAAATTACAAGTCAAAGTTGAAGCATTGAAGTGAATCTCCCAGAAGATTACAAACAAGCTCTCGTAAATACTTTTGCAGTGCACAAAGTGGAAAATGTACAGAAATTTATTATAAAACTCTCATTTTAGTAGAAAAAATTCTCGGCAAAGAAATAAACTCGTTACTTTGGCACACTGCATTTAAATACAAAAAGGATGGTAATTTTCTCAGCACTAAAAACCGGTCATTTTGTGGTATTTTCGGCAAAACTAGGCATTTCCAGTTAATTTGAGGTATAACAGGGTCATTTAGCACCTAACCAGTTATAACACCTATTTAAGGGACTTTAGCACTACTTTCAGTCTAATTCGCAGTACTTTTAGTTTGAATGGCACCTAATGGTAGTCATTTCGCACTATTTTTGGTAGATGTTTAGGCATCCCTACTAAATCTAGAAGGATTTTAGTATATTATGGAGATATAAACTACAATACTAGTCTGTACTAGCTACAGATTGCTTGTTGCCAGGTCGATTAGCGTCTGTTTCGGCGCATGCGTTTTGAGAGGACCGATAGGACGCAAGGCGCGCTTCTTGGACGGATTTGGCAAGGAATTTAGGTTTAGGTTAGGTTTAGGTTTAGGTTTAGTCTCGTGAGCTGGTGTCAGACCAGGTCTGTTTGGTGCTCACATCATGACAAGACTTTCGGATCAGGTTGAGGAAACTGTGGCCCAGCGCAGCTTATCAAAGTTATTTTTGAAACTGTTGGTTGTTGAAGATTCAACCACTTCCTTGGGTAGCTGGTTCCACAAGTTTACTACTCGGTTTGAGAAGAACTTAAGTCTTGAAACATGTTTTGCCCTTTTCTTTACAAGCTTAAGTTCATGTCCTCTTGTTCTGCCCTGATGTGTCACCTCAAAGAACTGCTCATGATTCACTTCTACTTTTCCAGTCAGGAGCTTGTAGGTCTCAATCATGTCACCTCTACGTATCCTGTCCTCGATACTGGGTAGTTTTAATGTACGGAGGCGATCCTCATACGACATATTTCTAATTGCCTTTACCAGTTTGGTTGCCCGTCTTTGCACCCGTTCCAGAGTCTTCATATCCTGGACAGTGTGTGGACCCACTGCCTGGATGCAGTATTCGAGATGGGGACGAACATAAGTGGTAAACAGTGACTTGAAATTTTTCACATCGATCCTGTCAAACGCATTCCTCAGGAGACGGAGGGCTGTCATTCCTCTGTTGGCTGCCCATTGACAGTGTCTACTTGGCTTTAAGTCATTTGAGACAAAGACTCCAAGGTCCTTCTCTATTTCGGTCTCTTGGAGCTTTACGACGGTGTCATTGGCGTCCTTCATAAAGTAGTCTGTCCTTAAATTGTCCGTTCCACAGTGCATTATCTTGCATTTTCCAGGATTGAGTTTCAAGAGCCAATCCTTTGACCAATCACTCAGTACATTCAGGTCTTCTTGCAGCCTGAGAGGATCATGACTGTCTTGTAAAGTACTGTAAATCTTTATGTCATCAGCAAACATCTTTACTTTACTCTTCAACAGGCTCGGTATTTCATTTACATAGACGAGAAACAGGATTGGGCCCAGTACTGAGCCCTGGGGGACTCCGCTGGTCACTTGACCCCAGTCAGAAGCCCCTTTTCCCACTACTACTTGTTGTTCTCGTCCATGTAGGAAGTCACTGATCCAGTTGAGTATACTTCCCTGAACTCCATAACTGTACAACTTGGCTGCGAGTCTTCTGTGTGGGACGCTATCGAATGCTTTCTGGAAATCCAAGTAGAGTATATCCAGCCCGAGTCCTTCATCTATTCCTCTTGTCCATTCTTCAAGCACCTCCAGCAAATTTGACTGACATGACTTGCCTTTCCTGAAACCATGCTGATGATTTGACAATAGATCTTTTTCTTCGAAGTGACGCATTAACACCTGTTTAACAATTTTCTCCATAACCTTACACACCTGTGAGGTGAGACTTACGGGTCTGTAGTTTCCCGGCTCACTTTTTGATCCCTTCTTATATATTGGCACTACTCTTGCTCTTTTCCATTCTTGTGGGAGGCGTCCTTCTTCTAGGGTCTTGTTGAATAGCCTGGCAAGAGGTAGTGCCAGCTCATCTGCACATTTCTTAAGTATAATGCTTGGGATACCATCCGGTCCGGCTGATTTGTTCGTGTTTTGTCTTTCAAGCTCTTTCTTTACCATTATCTCAGTCACTTCAATATTTTCTATGGTATTATCTGCATCCACCCTGGCATGACATAGTGGAATTGCATCTCCAGGTTCTGTTACAAACACTGATGTAAAGTATTTTTGAAGAACATCTGCTGTTTCCTTCTCGGTTTCAGTAAGTCCCCTTTCACTTTTTAGTGCTTGTATTACAGGTCTTGTTGTATGCTGCATGCGAATATACTTGTGCAGTTTCTTGGGGTCTTCTTTGATGCTGCTTAGCAATGATCTTTCATATTTATACCTTGTCTCTCTTATCAAGGTCGTTGTCTTATTCCTCTGTGTGGCATACCTCTTATAGTCCTCCTCTGATCTTGTTTCACAATATTTCTTGAATGTTTTGTGCTTGAGTTTGATTGACTTGATTATCTGCTTGCTCCACCATGGTGCTGTCTTTCTGTTGGTTCTCTTTTTGTGCAATGGTACATTTGCCTTCAGGCTTGTCTCTAGTGCATTTTTAATACCGCTCCACATGACTTCTACCCCAGCAGATTCCAGAAATCCCCAGTCTACTTCTCTTAGTGACTCCTTAATTTTCTCAAAGTTAGCTTTGGCAAAGTTCCGTTTGGTACAAGTTTCAAATGTCTTGTCTGCATCAGAAAATTGGTAGTTCCAAGTCAGAACTGCGTGGTCACTTTTTCCAAGTGGATCTTCTGTGTTAACTACATCAATTGCATTTGAGTCATTTGTGAAAACTAAATCTAGTCTGGATGGAACCTGACCCATTCTGAAGCGTGTAGGGCCACTGACATGTTGACATAAGTACAAGTCATTCATGGTTCTCATGAACTGGGATTGGTCAGAGTCATCTGGGCCTTCCACCGTCCCATTTTCCCAATCTATGTGAGCGAAGTTAAAGTCTCCCAGAATCATTACTTTCCTGGCATGTACTTGAGGAACAGCCTTCAACGTCTCCAAAAGTTTTTCATTATCTTCATGGGTATTACTCGGGGACCTGTAAATTAGCCCGACAAGTAGGTTATCATGCTTGCCCAATCTGATGGTGCACCAGACAGCTTCAACATCTCCATGCTTTGTTTCACTAAGTTCCTTACACTCTTGGACTTCCCAACTCTCCTTAACCAAGATCATCACACCTCCTCCTTTCTGTAATCCTTTTCTGTTTTTGCGGAACGCTTCATGGTAACCTGGAAAGGCTATATCTTCTTTTTGCCAGATTTCTGTTATGCCAACAATGTCAGGCTTTGCACTGTCAATTTTCACCCTCAGCTCACCCAGCTTATTCCTTAAACTGTTTGCATTTGTATACATGCATGATAGGTGACCTGTTTTCCTACTTGAGTTAATACCTGTCCCGAGGGACAACCTTTCCCCGAAAGATTCGATGAGTTTCTCTTCCTTTCTCTGCCAGTTCTTCCCTTAGTTTTCTCTGTATTTCCCTTTCTTCTGGGGTCTGGTCTCGTGAGAGATAAATGTTGCTGAAGCCAACTTTAGACAGATCCCATCTTTTCCTCATAAGGGCTTCAACCTCTTCCTTCTTCTTCAGGCCCACAAGCATTAGCCTCGGTCTTGGTTCTGCAGCTCCATCCTCCGAGATCTTCTTCTTTCCCAGCCTGTAAACCTTTTCGATCTCCATCTGCACATTGTCACCCAGGAGAGCTTCCACTATGTTGTGGAAACTATCTGAGTCATATTTCTTCCGCTCTGACGGCTCTTTTGCCTGACTCTCGGGTACATTGTGGATAATCAAGTTCAACTCCCTGCCTTCTTTATCTTCCTTCTTTTCTACAATTCTTTTGAGCTCTTGGGTGCTCTTTTGTAGCTCTAGCTGAATCTTTGGCATTGACTGCACAATTTCACTGTGCTCTTTGAGAGCCTTCTCAACCCCAACCTTTTGGTCACTGAGCTTCGATGTTACTATCTTTTCTACTGAGCTGATTTTTTCCTCTACCATCTTGCTTCGCTCTACTTCCGAACTGACAGTCTCTAGGACTCCCATGATTTTTCCCTCCATCTTGTCGATCTTTGCTTCAATTTTTTTGCTCATTTTCAGAGTGTCCATGAAGTTTGGCCTGCAGTTTTCACATAGCCAAATGAAGTCGTAGTTTGTCAGAGCTAGAAAAGCCTCTACTGTTAGCCCCTGGCACTTTGGATGATACCATTCCTCACAGAGGTCACAACTCACTGAGTCCTCCCCATCCATGATAATAACCCCACATACCTTTTTTCCACCCTTGCAGACAAACTTCGTTGGCTTTACCTTTGGCGCCTTCCCTCTTTGCACTCCCACTTCACTGTCTTGCTTTTCTTGATTTTCCTTCTCATCTTGCTTCAATTGTGACGCAGTGGAGCCAGTCCTGGCTCGCGTAGCCTTTGCACTAGACATGTTTACAGAAGTAAATCTGCCTCTATGTTTGGTCTTAGATTTGTCTCTACTGTTTCAATATTGACAAGCTGATCTCAAAATTCAAAATTTTGTGAACCTTTTTATAGTTTCAATACTTCATCATTCTGTCAATACACTTCTTGCTAAATACTTCTCAGTACTTGGTGTTCAACACTGCTACTGGGACCACAGCGTGGCGAATTCGGCGCACGTCCGGACTGGGCGAGGAGGGGAGAGGAAGTGATCTTACTGTTAGTACAAACGGCAATGGGGATCTTAGGTGTTGTCCATCTCAAATTTGGATAGATTGATTTACGTACAGCCTCAGCGTGTGCCGATCATCCTGCCTTTTCTTGTCCAAGAGTGAACTGAGCGAGGTTCTTAGCATGGAGATTGGAGAGTGATGACGATTTCCGCGAGGATATGTTGGGTCCTACCGTCCGCCCAAGCGTACTGGTCCGCCAGTGCTGCTGTCTTTATTCTGTCAGGTTATCTAACGGCGCTATGGGCATGTAGGTACAGCATTGCAGTAGCAAATGCTTAATCTAATGTGCAGTGGCATTTTCCCATGCTTAGTTGGAAGCGCTCGACGTCCCTTCCGTACGTGTCGTGGAAGGGACGTGTCTGTCATTGACGCACATCAACTAGATGGATCTTGATTGTAGCATTTCGCAGCAGCGTTTCATCGTTCAGCGGCCTAACGCCTAGCCATAAGCCAGCTCTCATTTCGAGGGGGTGGTACTTTGCTGAGGAGCCTGAGTGGTCACGCTGCATCGTGAGCCAGATGAAGCCGGTGGGCAGACCGTGTACCGTACATTTGCGTACATGATTTTGTCCCACGAACCTAAGCGATGCGCATTTTTGTCCACAAATTTACCTGATATATACCCAGCATGCCTATTAGTCGTTAGGGGCAGCACCGGGCGTGGTGTATTGCGTAGAGGGCAGGACCTATGCAACAAAACTTAAATAACGTTTTCATCGTGGAAGTAATACGCTGAATGGAGGATCATACTTTGATGTCCAACTTACGTACAACATAAAAAATAAATACCTCAAGGCTCAAGAACACTGTAATCATAGCAGTAGCTCGTGCTCGGCAGTGAAATCATGAATAGTGCTCATATACCGGATTTAGTGCAAAATGAGCTACCACACACCCATTTATATGCCAGATCTGGCATCGCCTCTATACTACCTAAAATAGTGCGGAATGACCGGATATACCTGTGTTTGACAGGAATTGCCTGCGAAAAGACGATAGTGCAAACTGAACTTATGATAGTGCAATATAACTGAAATTTAGGTACTGAAAAAATTATCCCCCATACAAAAAAGGGAATCAAAGTTCAGCTGTTCCAGTATTTGAAAATTAAGTTTTAGGAGGTTGAACTTTAACTTTCGTGAAAAAATTAAGCATTTCAGAGAATTTTATGATGATTTTCGCTACTTAGCCCAACAACACGACTACTAAAAAAGTTGTCAATGGGACCGATGTTGAAATAAGTGAAAATAAAGTTGCGCGCCTAGGCATATGCGCAACGCTTATGAAGTGTCTCCATTGCAATAATGCTATGAGCAATTTTTGCCGATTTTTGCTAAATGCATGAGTCAAAAAAGCAGAAAATTGCTGATCCAATGCTCAGGAGCTTGTTGTAGTTAATTTGGCCAGGTAAGTGACTGAAAGCTTAACAGTATCTGGAAGAATTGCTTTACTAACAAGGATGCAAGGTTTATGTAGTTCAAGGCTTTTATTATTTATGTATCAATACCTACACTTCAATTTCGGTTCGCTGTTGCAACGAATATGGATACCAAAAATGGGAATATCCTAATAACTCATTCTCTATGTTCCACAGTGTGAAGCTGGACACATCTGTAGCATGTTAGTGTGACTGTGGTTGTACAGAACACCTCCAGTCGCCAAGACCATTACACCATGGCAAAGTGTGCGCAGACAGCTGCCCAGTTCATCACTGAGGCATTCCGGCCAAGAATTGCTGTCATGTCCTCTCCAGAGGTGGAGGCCATCTGTATGAAGAATGACCTCACCTTGACGGAGCTGCTGCAGCCCTTCTGCAAGGTCAACCAGGATGGTGAGTGTGAGTGTGATGGCGGACAGTAGACATGAAAATATGGTTAGTAACACACTGATGGACCATTGATAAAATAGTCTTGTTGATAATCCAGATAAGATGATGATCTGTGCCCATTTGGAGCAGATCTTCTTTCATCCACTCAGACTACTTTTCCCATCCTCCAACAGTCCAGTTTAATACCTTGACTGTTTTATCTGATCTTACCTTCCTCCCCTCCCTTCCTTCCCCTCCACTCCCTGACAATTCATGGCTGCGTTCTGACGGGCCGTTTTTCGCGTGTGGTTTCCACGCAGAGGAATTCCTCTTGAAAACGGCTGGTCGGGCATCGCGAAACGCGAGTAATCCTGCGGGGTCACGCGAAACGGGTCTCCCCGAATGGCCGTTTTCGAGGAATTCCTCGGTGTGGAAATTTCACGCGAAATTTCCGTTTCCGTCGTATTCCACGCGAAATTTCCGTCGTTCGAACATACGACATTACTGTGAGTCGTGGCCCTCGTAACCGACTTCCCATCCCTTCTTCCCCCTCCTCCGGCAGTTCAGTAGGTAATGTGACCCTGCTTCTAATTGTCCCCTCCCCTGTACTCCGCAGTTCAATACCGCGACCCTCTGAACTCGCTCGTCACCGTCCGAGACCTGCACCTGGCACTGGACGACTGGTCTCTGAGCGCGCCACCTCCGGCGCACGTGGCGCGCCGTCAGCTGGCCGAGTGTGTGGCCCAGAGCCTACCCCCGCCGACGGGGGACGATGGTGCTCCCGCTGAGCGGCCCGAGAGCGCGCCGTGGTTCGAGGCCTGGAGACAGCGGCTCCTTCAGGTAGGTAGTGGGAGGGGAGAGGAGTCTGCGGGTGCTCCCGGGCTGTTTGTGTAATCAGTGGTTAGATCCATTGCTTGGTTCCATTCAAACAGTTCCCGGTGTACACGTTCTAACGTCATTAATTTATTGAAAGCATTGATCGCCGATAATTCATTCATCAATCAGTTGGTAGGTGTTATGTTCAGTCAGTTGCATAACCATAGATACAATCAGTTTCGATGAATATATCTGGATCAAAACCTCGCAAATGACCTCGCAGTCAACGCGTCTGTTAATCCCGAATAACTAAATAACCGAATCAATTATTTGTTTCTACTTTGAACATGTCTCTCATAAGATTTTGCTAGTGACCTGTAAGACGGATAATTTGTCAACCACCACAGTTGAACGGTCCACCTAACTCCTTCCCCGTGCCGTCAGGTGGAGCCGCCGGGCGAGCACGAGTTTGCGCGCCGGTACGTGGCCTGTGTGCTGGCGGTGAGCAGCGCGGCTGCCGCGCCGCTGCAGCAGCTGCAGCAGCTGGCGCAGCACCAGCACCAGCAGCAGCACGGCCAGCCGGCCGGCGGCGCGCGCTGGTTCTCCAACAACGTGCTCATCTATCACCTGCTGGTGACCGATAGCGGCGCCACGCCCGTCGCCAGGTGAGGGGAGTGACGGTCTGATGGAGGAGAGCGAGCGTGGGAGGTGGAGTGTGGATTGTAGCTGGTGCTGGTGCTGGTGATATACGGTATTGTTCATCAAATGATAGCCTTTGGTGTTCTGGTGTTAACTGGGAACTTTTCATCAAGATATTCCTGACTCGTGGAGTTTATCGACCGTTCAATCACGTCGTCAGAAACCACTGTTGTAATGAATGAATATCACTACAGAATCATTAAGAAGAGAACATAAAGCTACTTTGTGACTTGTTTTCAAGCTATTTTCGTCATTTCTGACCGTCTATCTCCCTCACATTGCCTTCAGTGCGGAGGCGGTGTTTGAGCAGGTCAAGTCTGCGTACGGCGCTCACTGCTGCCACCACCTGCGGCTCAACTCGCGCCGGCCCGAGCACCGCGAGCCCCACCAGCCGGACCCGTGGGCGGGCTATGTGCTCCGGCGGCCGACCAACCTGGTAAAATCCGCGGACCGCTTACCGGCGCACGCGACGATCGGATGTGTTGGGATGACTGTATTACAGAGTTTATCAAACGCTTGCTTTTTACAATAGTTGCCCAGTGTGCACGTTAATGTGCTCGCATGATTCTATCATGTCGGTTATGTCATCAGTCTGAAATCATGTACCGTGTACCTCGTCTATCATGCATTCTATCAGCGTTCCATCATGTCTCACCCATCTCTCCCTCCTCCTGTCTGCAGGACGGCACTCCGGCGCAGCTGTCCGGCACCGAGACGCCGGTCGAGGTGGCCGAGCTCATCTCCCTACCCTCTCTGGTGGTCGAGGGCGAGCTCTCCTCTCCCTCCCACCTGACCACCCACCCGCTGTCACCGGAGGCGGCCTCTGGCGCCGGCTCGCCCCTCCCGGTCCGCGCAGTGGCCTCGGCGCCCGCCCTCTCCCCGCTCGGCCCGCCGGCGCCCGGAGCGGTGCCCGCGGCGGTGGCCGTCCCTGCGCCTGGCGGGGACGGCACGGTACGAGACCCGGCGGCGCCAGAGGTGCTGGTGAACCGGGTCAGCTACCCCAGCCAGCAGGCGGGCGGGGTGCAGGTGAGAGTACGCGGAGAGGAGGGGTGACTAGAAGCTAGGCTCGATCATCGGGAGAAAAAAAAAAACAACTGGGGCAATGGAGAATTGAGCTTGCACGCAAGCTTTCGATAGATACGCCATATGCGACTTGCTGAGTCAGATTGTGAACACGTTTTCTGATCTGATCATGCGAAAATATTAAATGAGCAGGCATCCACTCCTCAGATAACAATTGCTCTTGTGTTGGATGTGATACTCTTGTTGAATATAACGCCAGTCTTGTTGTTTACGCCCTTGTTGACCGAGCCGACTACCCGTTTCTCGTGTTGTATGGTGTAATATGTCCCGTCTCCCCGTGTTTCAGGGCCACGGCATGTGTCTGTCGGCCTCGGACCTGGACCGAATCACCATCTTCATCTCGGAGATGTGTATCCGCGGCCTGATGCCGCACGTGGAGCGGCAGATGAGGGCGCTCAGTGACGTGGTACGTATGACTGGGCTGGTGGGACCGGCTGGAGTCGGAAAGACGAGTAATGTACGGAACAACTAATCAGTTAGCAGCATCCTTGGTCACCGTTCCGTGCTTCTATCCTCAGGATACTGAAATCCTTCTCCTCCACGCCGCAACCCCCCTCCGGGCTGGACAGGCAACTTTATCTCATGCGGGCTGCTCCCTTGGAGCGGCACCGCTGCTCCTGAGGGAGCGCACCCCGTAGCCGGGTGCAGTGAGTGCCTTGGGGCTGGGTGGTCTGTCCTCTGGACGGGCTCAGCCCCGGCGACTCACTAGGGTGCCTGCCCAGACCAATGTCTCCCCCTAATTCCTATCATCCTTCCGGCTCTGCAATGGTCTTGTCGACCGAAAGGGCCTAACCCAACAAAACAAACAAACAAACAAACATCCTTGGACCCTCGAGCATGCAGCCAACACCATAACAAACTTCGTAGCATCGTGTTCTTATCGGTCACTAGAGGCACTCTCGTTGCAGAGACTTCATTCAGATGAAGTAATGTCTCTCCACTTACTTCAAGATGAACAATGATGCTAAAGTTGATGCAGTACTATCGTTAACCAAACCAACTGTGTGCGTTCGCCTCACTGTTTGTGTTTCTGTATTTCGTCAGGTGAACAACCGTAAGGGCGTGAGTCGGTCGCTGATCAGCGCCACCAAACGGTGGTTCGGCGGAAACAAGCCCGGAGCCGCGGCGGCCAACAGCGTCATGTGAGTTTTGTCGCACCTATTTCGTCACAACTATTGCGGAAGGCTTATCAACTAACTGGTTTCGCCATCCAAATATCTTGACTGTGAAAGTTCTTGTCTTCGGCGATAAATCGCTCCCAAGCGTCCCCCTCCTCAGCTATATCTCAGTAACTACTTAGGCTGTGTTCAGCTAGCCAGTTCTAACATGTCAGGTGTTCATGTGTTGTCAGGGCTCCGACACATCCCCAGTCCCACCTGACCGTAGCCCGTTCTTGCCCCGTGACCGCAGCTACAGCCACGAGGCGCCCGAGATCCAGGTGCGCCGGCTCGGTGATCTGGCCTTCATGTTCGGACACTACGACCTCGCCTACCAGGTGAGGAATCTGAGCTCAAACAGTCTTTTGTTCAGGAATCAGCGCTGAGATGTCATATGGGTCACGAAACGGGGCTTCTACTGGTCAGGAACCGTAGCTCAGATACCAATATCATGCAAGATAGCGCTGTTCTAGCTGCTTTGCCGACAATCATTGTTACGTTACCTACAGTTTCAATTCGCACGTTATCAGTGAGAAATAACTTAGGTGGCGATTTGAAAGTCGTCCTATGTGATGGTTATCTATCCAGTTTGAGGTATCAGTGCTGTAACGACATAAAGCCTCCCCATTCCGTCCATCCACCAGACCCCACCGTCCTCGCCCACAGGCGTACCACACTGCCAAGCGCGACTTTAACGCGGACGCGGCGTGGCTGCACTTTGCCGGCGCGGTGGAGATGGCAGCACTGTCGGTGTTTCTGCACGGCGCGCACGGGAAGCCGTTCCCGCAGCACTACCTGGACCAGGCGGTCACCACCTATCTGGACACGTGCAGGTCAGTCCCTTAGACATAGACCGTCTTTTTTTCTCGCCATATAGCCTCGTTGTTGGTGGGCCCCATAACTCACCAAATAGATATTAGCCGTTTTACGGGATCATGAGCTCACTGGCTGATCGGGTCTCAATGTCACCGACTGATTGCACTCACAGACTGGCCGTGCCACAAGGTCATGAACTGGGTGGGTTGCAGTCTGGCTAGTGACAGATGACGACTGACCAGTGTAAGAAATCGCCTGTGTCGCCATGTCTCGATTTCTCCATGAACCCGCACGCTAATTTGATGTATTTTCTCAAATAATTATTATTTCAGTAGCAACAGTGTTCGTCTTTATTAGTAATCCTCGTTTGCTTGAATGCTTGTATTTCGTTAATTTAAATGCGCACCTTTCATTTATCATAACGGGCTCAGATTAAAAACTTGATTCATATTTATTAGTACGATTTTTACCGATCATCTGTCAACCTTGCAAATGATGAAGAGATTCGCCAACGTACCTGAATGCTATTACGTGTTGTGTGCTAAGCAGTTATTACGCTTCCATGGTCTCTTATCGTTTGGTAAGACGTAAAATGCTCGAGTATCGTCTTGCCAGTAAATCTCATAACTTCATAAGTGAACAAATGTTGATCATAATACAAACTTCAGCATTTCTCATCAACATCCTTGTTATTACCATCCTTTGTCATTATTATACTCCTGCTGTAATCACTGGTTCGAAGTTTTTGTTCCATTTTCTGGTAATGCATAATCTGAAACAGGATTGCCTTTATTTTGCGAAATTAGTTCAGTGTATGCTCGTTGGCCAATGGCCAGTAATTATTGCAAAGTTTGCACTGCTTCGGACTGCTTGTGCGCCTCTTGGTGCTTAATGTCAGTCCTCGAAAGAAATTGCGCAACAAATAGCGCCGTAAGGAACGGTTCCTTGCACGCCGCGCCAAGGCATTGTTTGGCTCGTCGGTTGACGTGTGACATTTGGTGCAGCATTCGGAGTAAAGCGTCATACCATCCGCTCGCCACATTGCAACAAAGGACGGTGTAAGACATTAATATTGAACGACCCCGGAAGCGTTGTTGCAGGTCCGTCGGACCCCGCGCCATCCACGGTTGTTTCGTGCGCCGTATGTCATGTAATATAGCCGGGGCGGCTGGCAGCAGCCGTTTCGCAGAGTGATTTATTTAGCAGATCTTGTGTTGATGGATGGCGGGCTGAGCCGAGAGGGCGTATCCAGAGAGTGTTCTCACAGCCCGGTAATTCTTCATGAACTACGAGACAGTGATAGCCTCCAGTGCCTCCAGTGATAGCCTCCGGCGCCTCCAGAACAGATGAGGTAGACTTTTAGTGAGAAATTGAGAGGAAAAGGCTGCAGACTTTCGCCTGTGTGTTATTGAATTATGTGCATTTCATTTCAGTTTATGAAGGAAGGTCTGTGACGTAGATGACACCTTTGACGCTTGGTTAGTGTCAGCTGTAAAGCATCTTTCGACAACCTTTCGAGCTACGCGAGAAGAGCACGTTTTCCACTACCTGCCACTTGGCTTGAAAATAGGTTTGTCCCAGGTTTCTTTTTCAGTGACCAAACAAGAGTCGTTTTACTCTTTTCGACGAAATTTCATGTAACCTTAGATGAAATGACGCCTCTCATTCACGTTGCGTAAAATGGTCGTCAGCTTTGGCGCGGAAAACGCTACCGAAAGCGCTATGAAAAGCTTGCAAACCAAATTGTCCATTTAGAAAGTCTTCGGACACCGATGAACCCTTTCACTATTTTTTTTTTTTATAAATTTAGCTCGAATGTTTGAATGGACGGATTGACAGAGCCGAAGCCTACGCTAAGCAGAGCTTGTTGCGTAGACCGGGAGACCCTGACCCCTTCCGTCCGATCGCGCAATTCCGGGTAACGGGAGAATTTAGATGCCAAAGTTTAACGTGCCCTTCAAAGCCGGACACGGCCTGTCCCACTCAATTGACTTCAACTGGCTGCGGCTGCTCCCACCAACCGCAGACCATCCCCGTCAGGAGTTTCAAATATCGAGCGCCGGAGCGACTCGAACCCGGGCTCTCACTACCGGGAGTCCAGCGCTCTACCAACTGAGCTATGGGACAGGCAAGGGACTATCATAGATAGGCAAGGACATGGGACTATCATAGATGTACCGTTATTACATACCGGTAACGCCTCCTCGAGGTGTCTCACTCCCCGTAATTACACAGGTCTCGTGCGTGCCCCCCCCCCCCTCCGAGGTTGTTGTGTTGTGATTCTTCCGTCACAGCCGCGGAGCTGTCAACAGCTGTGGCAACTGCGGGGGCCTCGCGGCGGGTCTGGTCGATCGTCACGATTGTCCCCCTCCATCCCGTCCCCTGCGGCCACTGTAGACACATCTGTGGTGTAGCCGATGGGCCGAGCGATGGCTCCGCGCCCGCAATGCTGGTAGGCTGTGACAGCTGGGGGCGCCCCTTGGATGTACGCCGCACTCGGTGGCAATCGTGTGATAATCAAACGACCAGCTGGCGGGATTCGATGCGGGTTGCTAATCGTCCTGCCATGGCGGGAGTTCGGCAAGTGAGTGTTCTAACCCGCATCACTTTGTGTGAATTTAGATTGCGGCAGGCGGAGACGGCATGCCTTGCCTTTCTCGCTACCGCTTTGCGAGATAGGATAGCCGCCTGATCGCGCCGTTCCATGTTACATCGCAGCACTTCATTTTGTGTTAGAGCTGAGACATTTATGAAATTACATTTGTGGGGCAGTAAGACCGTTCTCCTATTTCCGTGTGGATTGAAGGAAGTCTTGGGTTCGCTCGTGGGGCCATCTCTCCAATGTGTCAGAGTTACGGCCCTCTGCGGGGTGGCCGGGGCTGGCGGTCAGATATATTGATTCTCGTTCTCGGAGGCGTGCGATGGTGTTCTACGTTTCACAAGGTCATTTTGTAACCAAGTAACTCTCTAGCATGCATGATTAATTTTGTCAGTTTTTAGCGGGTCTTAGGTCATGTTCATTGACGATTACAGTTTACACACTTGCTATGTGATTAGTGTGATCACACTCGGTGTGATTACCAGTGTGCCGTATTTTTGAAACAACGAGCATTTTAGTAGCGTATCCCAGGAAAAACGCATCGGTTTTTGAGCGATCATAACATTCAGCTGCCGGATGCAGTCGATAGCAGTGTGACATTTGGACCAGTTGCTGGCCTGTTTGGCTTGACATTGATAACTGCTTTCGGTTTCACTTACATATGACTGACATGGTACAGGAGCGAAAATAATGTCAGGCAGCCGACAAACGAGGCAGTGGCGAAGGTGTTGGCGGTAATTGTGACATCGTTTCCGACAGCTCGCCAGTACCAGCAGCAGTTGGTTCCATCGTTTGCCCGAATTGTCACCTGCCGAGCCGATGTGTTGTGAAATCGCCCCTGACTCAGAGGGCCTCCGAAGGGAGTAGCAATCAATACGGCCCCTCGACGCCGCGCGGGCATCTGCGGGCGGCAGGTGGTGGCACACAGTCACCCCTGCATCTGTCAGCTGTCACATCTGACACACCTGTCACCTGACACACCCGCCAACACTGGTCGGACGGTCCTACTCCTCACCCTAATTTGCGGCTCAGCGCGGGCCTGCAGTAGTTAGATTTCGACAGGGAATTCACCGGCCAGAGGATTTCAGCCCAGGGATTTTCGTGGCTGTGTGAAGCTGGTGGTTTATGAGGTCGCTGTGATGCGCTTAAATGTTATTTGATGTTGTAATGTTAATTCTACTGGGGTTTACCGCTGGGTACCTGGTTGTCGTAGTTATGGCACCATACTCTGATGATTAAGCACCGATATAACATTGCTTTGGCTGTGCAAAAACCATGTGCAGAGTCTTCCTTTCCTTTTGTGGCTCAGGTGCATCCCTACTTCAGGTCTCACTTTGCCACAAGTCGCGTGTTTTCGCGAGGTGCTCTGACGTTTTTATTGTCACTGACGTCCACAACACTTCGCAACCGACAAGCGGTTAATCTATTTTCGCCCAATGACTGTCAACGCTTAACGCAATAGCTGCCACCCTTTCAATTCGATCTCATATTCATCTTTGAAGCATAGTGATTCAGAGGCGACGTCGGCCCTTTGAGAGGAACCCAATTTTCCCCGTCGCCGCGCCTCTTCAACGAATTTTCCGTCTCAACACCCGGCTGGAAAATCAATTTCTGATCACCGGTTTTCGGCCGGGCAGCGCGGAGGTCGGCCGCGCGGCGGCGTGGCGAGTCGAGCCCTGTAGTTTGTCCGCGGTCCGCCAGGGGTCAGCCCGGTCGCTGGGGGCCCGCACAGCGCCGGTGACGGTGACAGCGGTCGCAGTGTCGGCGGCGGCGGTGCGGGTGCTATCGACGGGGGCGAAGGGCGCGGAGAGTCGTGGTACACCTGTCCCTGCCATCCTAACCAGACTTCGGCGGCGATATCTCGCCTCTCTTCCTCAACAAGTCTCAGTACGGACATCCTCTCAGTTCTCACCCCCGAAGACAGTGATATCCCTCACCTCTGGCCATATTAACGTCCGATACTCTCAGCGCTCGCTACTAACTTACCCAAACAGCGAGATCCACTCCATTTCCCTGCGCTACCCGACCCTAGCGTCCTTCCGTCCCGCGATGTTCGTTCGCTGCGGCTCGTCCCGCAGCCCGGCCGGCTCCGGCGGCACCTCTATGCCGGAGACGGTGTGCGGCGGGCTGGTGGCCGTCCGTCCCGCCGCGGAGCTGATCGCCAGCGCGGACAGAGCCGGTGACGAGGAGCGGGAGGGGGACGGCTCGGGCGGCCGGCGGTTCCGGCGTCTGGCGCGGCGCCTGAGCGCCACCCTGCGCCGCTCGCTCTCCGCTGAGGAGGACCCCTCTCCCCCGACCGGCAGGATGCCCAACTACGCGCTGAGGGCCACCCTGTTCAGCACCGAGTGTCTCAAGGACCGGGCGCAGTTCACCGAGGCGGCGCTGCAGTTCATCCGGCTCACCGCCGAGGACGCCGACCTCAAGTCAGTGGGGTCACCAGGATGGGTCAGTGGGGGTCATCAGGGTGGGTTAGTTGGATCATAGTTGGATCAGCAGAGTTCATAGAGGCCAATTTGTTCATTTTTGTGGTTTTTAAAGGTTTCATAGTTGCTGGAGATGAGGTCATTTGAAGCAAACGATAAATTGTCGTTATTGCTAGGGGACTGTTCAGTTATTGCCTGGCTCAGTCAATACGCAATATCATTTCTCTTTGGTAGGCCACATCTCGTGCTCCTCTCCAGTAGTTCATTCTAAATGTCATTGGCGGTCGCCGCCTGACGCTGGCCCATTTCGCATGCAATCGCGTGACTAATCACATTGTTTGGTGCCCAGTGAGACCATTAACCAAAAGGGCCGGACATCAGAGCCACTATCTATGATGATTGGCTCCAATAATTTCGAGCTCCCGGCTCCTGCCAACGGAGGGTCAATGGGTTCAATGCATAATACATCAGTCCAGGGATGCTGACAGCAACGGGTTGCGAGACCTTATTATTACATAATTATCAGAATAAATGATTGTCATGTGATGTCGCTAGATTATGATATCATGCCGTTGAACGTTGTGTTGCAGACGGCGTTTGAATTTCATTAATCGCTTCCTTGTGTTAATTAACTGTGGTTGTAACTTGTAAGCTCATTTACTCAGTGAAATTCCTGTGGTAGCCTGTTGTGTCGCTTACAACAGCATAGCCTGCTTAGTGATCAGACAGCTTGGCGTTATCTTTAACGACGGCTAATAGCTAAGCGAATTAAAAATCGGCTCAACCTCCAGCCACTATTCATTTCATCGAGGCTTCCACCGCCATTCACGATAACTCCATAGCTCATATTAGCATGTTTCTCCCGCTGACTTACTGCGTCTCGCTACCTGACGCTGTGTCACTCACCCCGACATTGATCTGTTTTTCCACGCTGAGCAAACAGCCACCACACGCGGTACTGCGCAAGTTTCTCTGCCGGTGCTCTGCCTCACGCCCCTGTCGGCCAGCCCTGAAGCTAAAGTTCCGGTTTTGTCCACCAGGTCTGCGCTGCTGCTGGAGCAGGCGGCGCACTGTTTCCTCAACTCCCAGCCACCGGCGCTGCGCAAATATGCGTTCCATATGATTTTGTCCGGTCACCGGTTCTCCAAGGCGGGTCAGCGGCGGCACGCGCTGAGGGCCTACAAACAGGCAGCGCAGGTGAGAGGGTCGAGGGATCGGTGGCACTAGGTTGTTGGGGATATCAAGGGCTGGTTAGGGATAGCAAGGGCGGGCTGGAGACAGGGGAGTGAGATGAGGGACCCGTGAAGGTTTGATGACATGAAATGAACCTAGTTTCAGTAAGGATTCCTCACGTGCATTTTATAAGACCCCTCGGGGTTCGTACTTTGATCATGACCACTTCAATGACGGTGTTCTCCTGAATTGTGCGTTTCTTTTTCATATCTCAATCGCCTTAACCACTTTACGCCCTTCCTTGCTGACCTTGTATCTCCCCCGTCAGGTATACGAGGGTCATGGCTGGCGTTTGGCCGACGACCACATCGCCTTCACCCTCGGCCGTCAGTCCGAGGCGCTGCAGGAGCACGAGGCGGCGCGCACCGCTCTGGGCTCGCTGCTGGCCGGCGCCGCCGCCGTGGAGACGAGACAGTCGCCCGCTCAACAGGCCGCCTTCGTCAGAGAGTACCTGCACGTGATCAGGGTGCGTGCGTGCTGGGGATTCGAGTGGCTACTGTCGGGAGAGATTGGGGTGGGTGGTTTGGATTTGATTGAACCGACTTTAGAGTGTTTTTGTTTTCATCGGCGTTTTGTCTGTTATTATGGGAATTTGCCGTAGTATCACAGAAAGTGCTCAACAATCCGTACACTGATGCTCCTTTATCATTGCCCGACGGTTTAAATGCCTGATATCTTATGAGCGTCGAAATTTACCGTTGTATATTTTTAGTAATCATGTTAGCTCACCCCCACCCCACTAACTCTCCGTGCATCCCGTCTCTCCCAGCAGCAGTGCGACTCGTCGTCCGCGCCGGGCGCTCGGCCGCCGCAGCTGCCCGTACCACACCTGCTCTCGCAGCAGACCCGGGTACTCGTCAGTCCGGCGCAGCAGCCGCCCGCCGACGGCTGGACGCCCGCCTCCGGAGCCAGCTTCGCCGACGAGGAGGAGGATAACGCAAAGTGAGAGCGATGGCTGGGTGTAGGCTGGGGAGCCATGGGGATGTTTGTGGTGATTCTGTTTCGTAGACTATCGAGAGACATGTTTTTGAGTCGTGAGATTGGAACTTTTGTAATATTGGGGTGGTGTCATTCTTTTGACTTCGAACTGCTTTCGAAAAAGAGGAATAAAGAAATGGTCCAACCTTCAAAATTTGGTTGTTGCGGCGCTAGACTTTATTCTACGCGTGCTTCATCCCAGCATACAATGCTGCACTTTCATCCGTGACATATTTTCGCGTCAGTCCTCTTTCACACTATGCACGAGTCTGTTTGCTAGCACTGCCCATCATAGCTTCGGCCAGCTGGGATGCAAATCCACAAATGACCGTATGTCCGCAGGTGGTTCCGTCTGGAGGAGCTCTGTTTGGAGCGGCTGGGTCAGAACAGCGTCCCCTTCAAACCCACCATACAGTGTATGTCCGACAAGACCAACAACAGACACCAGCCGCGCGTCCCCGCATCAGGTGAGGGGTCAGTGGGTCTACCAACAGATCGGCATGCAGCATCGAGCACTGCATAAGGGTTTGCATATAAGCATCCGTAATTGTTGTCTCGCCAAGGAATGCGCTCCAATGGGATCAAGGGTGTCTTAAAATTGACATGTTTATGCAGCTTTTGCGCGTGGCTCGTTCTTAAAATGTGTCCTTGAATCAACTATGCCTTTACTAGGTATACTTAATTTCAGATAAATTTCAGGAGCGATATTGTCCAGTTTAGTGTTCTCTCCATTGTCTCGACCGTCAGCTGGTTCTGCCATCCACCGCCGCGACTTTGTTCATCCCATGTCCCTTAGATTGTGGGCTCAGAAATGAACCTGCTCCCTACACTCACCTGTGTTCGTTTCCCACAGAGCCGGTCCACGTTCAGCTGGTGCTGCGTAACCCGCTGCGGGTCCCCCTGGAGCTGTCCGACCTCCGCCTGCAGCACACCTTCAGTCGGACGGAGGGAGGGGACCGGGGACCGGACGGGACCACGCCGTCCGTCACGGCGCACACTCTCAGCAGGTGTACACTCGAGGAGAACGCCACGCAGGAGGTACGGAGGGGAATCGCTTGGGCTTAGGAGAGTACGGTAGTGCTGGATTAAGTGTAGATCGCCGTCATGGGCAATTTGTAATTTTTGCGATGTGATAATTTATGTACGAGTAGTTGATCCCAGCTCGCAAGACATGCCTTGGAATGTCTTGCTGTCATTTCACCCTCGCTAAGTGTATGTTATTGGCTAATAGTTACGTTAATGTTTGAACTTACGCCACTCATATGCCCCGTGACTGGTGTTTTCACATTTCCCGTTCTCCTGTCGCCAGGTGACGCTGTCGATCACCGCCCACGAGCCGGGCGACCTGACCATCCTCGGGTACGAGTTCTCTCTGTCGCTGGCGGCGGCGCCGGCCGACTCGGAGCCCCCTCCGGCGGGACCGGGCGCGGCCAAGGAGACCCCGCCGGCCGTGCGGGGGTGTCAGCCGATCACAGTCAGGGGACGGAGGCTCAATGGGACCAAGGAGGAGCGCAGTGGGGTGTTCTACGCTGAGGATAAACGACTGCAGGTGGGTGAAGTGCTGGCGACAATATAGTGGTGCGGTGTTTTTAAAGAGACAACCACTCACATGGGATGAAACGTCATCGGTTGTTTTACTTTCTAATAGACGATGCTAGTTTGCTTACACACCTCATGAGGTCAAGTTATTTGCAGGCGGTATTTAATCAGTGATCCGCGTGAAGATTCTATCCGATAGACCATCTGAAGTAATTGCACCAGTCTCGCCTCTGATTGACCCCGGTCCTTCATTTTCTCCCGTTCGTTCACAGCTGCGAGTGGAGGAGGCGAGTGCGCAGCTGCAGCTGAGTTTCTGCGGTCTGCCGTCGTCACTGCTCTGCGGTCAGATCCACCCGGTGCTGGTTCGTCTGACCAACTCGGGCCGCCGGCCGCTGCTCCGGCTGATGGTCGCCACCCCGGACCCCCACCTGCTGGCGCTGGAGCTCAGTCCGCCACCGGACGGCGAGCGGTGGTCCCAGGTGCGGGGCGGCCCGCCGCCCGCCGCCGGCCGCCTCTGCTGGGCGCAGGCGGCGCGGCTGGGACGGGTCACGGAGGTCCCGCTGCCGGAGGGCGGTCTGGTTCCGGGCGGCTGTCTGCTGCGTCGGCTGTGGCTCCGCGCACCGCACGCTGACGGCCCCCGCCCGCTGGAGCTGCTGGTGTGCGGCGCGGCGCCCGGGCCCGGCCGGCCCCGGCTACTGCGGCACGCCGGCAGACTGCTGGTCACACCCAGCGCCGCCGTCTCCGTACGGCCGTCCCGCAGCGTCGGGCCCCGTCAGAGCCTCCACCTGGACATCCAGGTCAGCGGCGTCCAGCCGTCGGCGGCGCCGATCGTCCTGGAGCGAGTAGCGGTGGCGGCGCCCGGCTGGAGGCTCGACAGAACAGCCCCCGTGGACGCAGCTGAGGTCCAGCGCGGGGAGACGGCCTACCTGGGGGTCGTGGTAGACCGAGTACCGGTGAGGACGGCCGCCGGAGACGGCTCGACAAATCCGACGGCAGCGAACGACGAGCTGTTGAACATAGGCTCGATAGCGTTAACTTCAGACTCTCCCTCGATGGATCACAAGTCTCACCAGCAGGGTGGAGATCACCCTCAGCCCGGTGACTCGGACTCGGGCCTGTCAGAGTGGCCGTGTGTGCAGTTTCTGCTGCGGCACAAGCTGCAGCTGCCGCCGCTGCTGCCGCCGCAGAGCTCGGGACCGACGGGCGCCGCGCCGGAGCCGCCCAGTGCCGAGGGCGCCGCGCTGGCGGCCGCCGTGCGGGTGGATGCTACGGTGCTGCTACAGTGGCGGGTGAGTGCTCAGGGGTCCTCCAGTGGCGAGCGAATGTTGGGACGAGTAGTGGAGGGGCTTGGAGAAGAGTGCACCCCACCCAAGGGAATACATAGAATGTTGGCTCCGTTGGCACTGCGTGGGTAACGAAGACAATGACGAGATGGCATACTGATAAGGTTTGAACATGTTGTCTACATGCTTAGAAGACTGTTTGTATGTTGTGTCATCTGACCTCCATCCTTATCTCATTCTCCAGACTCAGGGAGTGGACGCCGCCGGCCGGGAAACCACCGTCTACGGTCAGCACCACGTGACCGCCGAGCTGCTGGACGACAGCAGTGCCACCTATCCGTCGGCGGCCGAACTGGAGCCTCTGCCGCCGGTCACCATCATCCCGAGCCGGCCGCCGAGTCCGCCGCCGCCGCACTGGCCCGGAGAGGGGGTGATGGACCGGCTGGTGACGGTGGTGCCGCTCCACAGGCCGGCCGTCAACCACAACTTCGACAGAAAACGGTAGGTGGCAGCACGGGGTAGGAGTGAGGTGCGGGGTTTGCTGAGCGAGCGATGATGGCGATGATGCTGGATTGTGTAGTTTTGTTGTTTTTATTTCGAACAGATTACATCGTTCTCCCTAAGGGATGGGTCACGATAGACGTTTTTTATCATTTCGGGAAGTGCTTCTCTGTAATCCATAGCCATAAATCGCGCTGGTACTGGGCCTGCCCCGGCTCGGGATGGTATCGAACGATCAATTGCTACTCTAGTTGATCCTAGGACCTAGGCCGATGAAGAACCCGTTTTATCGGGCCACGGGTCTCTATCAATATCATCTGCCTTCAGGTCATTGTCTGCCTTTGTTCCGAATGTGTCCGTCCCAGTACTCCCTGCACATGGCGACTCATCCTTTCGTCGAACGTCGCCAGGGCATTCTATCCAGGTCTGTCTCTGAACAGAGCACGACGTCATAGAAAATCGTCTGACACGTGTTACGATGTGTGACGAGATCAGTAATGCCATTTGTCACTTCAGTGTCCCTCTCAGGGAGTCTGATAACGTACCGAATGTGGCGTTTGATCCAATATTAGATAACGCCGTCTCCGTGCGGCCGGATGGCTCTCGTTCGCTCGTTCTCTCACACTCTCCCTCGTGCCTCGCCGTCCTCTTTTTCCTTCACTGTCATCGCCCCTCTCTCCTCATACACCTCCGCTATTGTATAATGAAGACACGGCGCTTCCCCCTCTCTCCCTCTCTCTCTCTCTCTCTCTCTCTCTCTCTCTCTCTCTCTCTCTCTCTCTCTCTCTCTCTCTCTCTCTCTCTCTCTCCCTCTCTCCCTCTCCCTCTCTCCCTCTCCCTCTCCCTCTCCCTCTCCCTCTCCCTCTCCCTCTCCCTCTCCCTCTCCCCCTCCCCCTCCCTCTCCCTCTCCCTCTCCCTCTCCCTCTCCCTCTCCCTCCCCCTCTCCCCCTCTCCCCCTCTCCCTCTCCCTCTCTCCCTCTCCCTCTCCAGTCTGAATAGGTCGTCCTACTCGAGCCTCGCGAGGTCCCGCCCCCCACCACCAGCCGTCCAGTAACTCTGACACAAGTCCCGTCCTCGACCGGAACGGCCCCCCTGGGAACCGTTTGTGGCGACACCGAAAGGCGATGTCGCCATCAAAGGGCCGCGCGACTCTCAGTCGGATGTGCTCGCTAGCACATCGCGGTAATAGTGATGGACTTGACTGTTGGAGGCATTTTTGTGACTGGTTCTTTGGTGTCTTTGTGTTTGCCATCATAGTCGTTACGGTTTTCATCATTGCCATTGCTGCCGCATTCATTGCCTGGGGCTGCGCTTATATTGCGTTCAGTGTGTAGGGGAAGTTGGGGGAACGCCGAAGACTTTTTTTCTGACGCCCGTAGCACGCAAGGTAGACAACACACGCTATTCTTGTTGGCGTCATTCGAGAGGCCAGTCTTTTGCCTTTCAAACATACCAGGCGCATTTGATGAATTCGCATACCGTTAAGCGCACAAACTAAAAATATCAAAGAAGTGACTTTTTCGGCGTTGCCCCGGACTGCGGGGAAAGCCGAAAATGGGAGAAATGATCTACGGGGAATCCCGACATTGATGTTTTGCCATTTTATCTCAAACTTTATCCAGAATTCATCAAAGCTGACACACGTTTCAAGAGCTTGAGGACGCGGTGCACACTGGAAGTTATAATTGTGTGATATAATAAGAAAATGCCAGGTAAATCATTCCTTATAGGTAACAGGCCGTTGTGTCGGTTGAAAGTGTAATTTGTGTGACTAAAAATACGCGTTGCTATTCTACAGCAGTAAAGTCCACGTAGCGTGCTTTTAACACGTGCGTAATCGCACGTTTTCGGCAGTACCCCAGCCAGCCATACTTTCATTTGCAGGCCCATAACTTTTCAACGTGCTGTATAAATTTCAAATAGGCAGCACACTTATGCAAAGACATGCTAAAGATTACTTGACCGAATTGGCCAGACAAACGGTAGCATAATGAGTAAAAAATGCAGCTTCAAAGGCGCATGTAGTACAAGGGAAACGTACCTTGAAAACGCTCTTGGCGCCCTCACAGTCGAAGTATTCCGAAAGACGACTCGTAACAAACATGCGATAATTGTAGTCACTTAAGCTTCAGAGCATCATTGACAGGTGGCATCCATGTCTTACGGTTTTCGAAATATCTGGAATTTCGGCTTTGCCCCAACTCCGGCATTGCCCCAACTTCCCCTATATTTCTGATGGTTGTATGGGATTGCGCTACCTCCGGCACCGGCTTCATTAACAATGTTCCGTATCGTCATTACGCCTACAAGTCATTATCTTGTCGGGCAGAAACTCATCAGCACCAAACCCATCCCATTAATCGCATTATGGCTGTACTCATCATGGCCACCAAGCCTCTCAGCCCCCCCCCCCCTTCCCTTAGCCCCCTCGCCCCCCCCCCCCCCACCCCACCCCGCCTCCATTAGCTGTTGGAGCGGCGGCCGAGGCCGTGAAGGGTCCTTCACGGTTCAGCGGCCGGCGGCTGTCCGCGGCGCCGCGGCTCGGCTCTATCAGCCGACAGAGAAAATACCGACTCGCAGTTTATCGGATGGGACGATCGCGGCGAGAAAATCGACCATCAACGCTGCCGTGGCGGCGAAGACTCTGGCCGTATCGCCACCGAAACGACGCCGCTTATGTGCGCTCAGGGAAATGGATGATGGAGACGGAGGGAGAGGGAGGAAGAGAGAGGGTAGGAGGGAGATAAGAAAAGATAGAGAGAGTGAGAAGAGGTAAGAGAAGTGATAGGGCAATGTGCTCTGAACATGGGAGGGAGAAATAATGAAGAGAGCGAGATTATGAGGAGACAATAGAAGAGAGAGCGAGAGGTAGGGAGACATCGGAAACGATGAGATAGCTTGACGAACGACTGGAATGGGCTGCTAGGATGACCGAAGTTCAGTCCGGACTCCTTTACGGCCCGAGGTGCTCGGGGGTGGTCGTACATACCCTCAGGGAGGTGTTTCCTCACCGCTACTGCGCCGTTCGCTTACACATTGAATTAGTTCGCGGAGCCGTCCGACGCCCGGCCGTCAGCGAATTCGACTGTAACGGCGAGGCGTTCGGCGTAAAACTGAACCCAGTTGTGATTCCCCGAAGCAGGCCGCGTGTTGAGAGCACTTTGGCGGCTGGCCGGAGGCGCTGTTGTTTGGGTGTTTGCATAGTCGGTGCACGCGCGGCGCGCTGGGAGGGTGTTGCGATGTTGGTGGCTCGTCAGGGGACGTGCTGGGACTGCGGCGCCGCGCGGCTGTCTGCCGGTCGTTCCCGTCTGATGGGACAGAGGTGCGAGCGGTGTGGGACGGGGTGGTGGGATTGGATCGGTCCGTGGAGTCGGCTCGGTGATTGCTCGCTGTTGGTGGAAAGGCTTTTGCCTTTGTAGTTGAGTAAGTTGTTTTTTTAACTTTTAGGATGAAAAGGGCACATTTGCATGATTAACTAGTTACTAGGGTACACAGGATCCTTAGGGTACGTAAGGGCCATGTAGCCCTTATGGGCGATAGCTTTTGCAACTCGAGAGGGCTGGCTTTATCGACCAAGGCTCTGGTACACGGTTAGAGTGACAGACGAAATAAAACCAATTAAGACAAAACTCATTTGTCAACCGGTGCCAGTTGAATCACTAAATGTGTGAAATATAGGCGCCACTAGGCTGTCCCGAAGTGAAACCATCACTTTCGGCTGACGTTATCGAAATGAATGGTGTGAAGCGGAACAAGAAGCATCATTCCAGCGTGACGTTATCAGAATGAATGGTCCGAGCTGGCCCGCCATCTCTGTCGGCTGCAGTCCCGGGCGGATCGTCATGGCTCGTGGCGCTGCAACCCGCATCGGTGATGTTTCTTGGCGCAGTAACCCGAATCGGTGACATTTCTTGGCTTTAGATCCAAATCGGCGGTGTTCTTGCCGCTATAACTCGACCGCACGGCCCCTACAATGCGACTTGTTCCGCTTACACCGGACTGTAGTGATGTCAGACCCTGGGTCGAAACGGTGTCTGGTGCATTTTCTGAGTGGTACCGGCCGCCGGGTCGTACCCTGCTGGTTGCCAGCCCGGGGTCGTCGCGGGTCGCCGGGTCGTACCCGCGCTAGGCGCCAGGTCGCCGGGATCGCGCGCCGGAAGCCCTGCCCACGCGGCCCGTCGCGGCAGACCGCACCCCGTCCGGCGCCACCCTCTGAGGCCTCCAGAGTGCATGACACGAAAGTGTCACGGCTGATACCTGTGGCACTGGCACGAAATGTCACGGCTCTGGACTAATTTACCACTACCGTGGGGCGTCAGTGCGGCGCTACTGCGAGCTGAAAGGTGCGCTTTAGATTGCATACGACTGTGCGGATGTTATTTCATTACTTTGTGTGGGAATTCATGTAGTGAGATCATGGCAACGTACCGCGCACCCTGCTTCTCATGACACTTGACAGTTGGCAGTAATTATTTTGAGAGCATAGCCATTCATTTTCAAACGTTCACAAAGGACGCAACTATGTGCGCCGAAGTTCCTGTGCACTGTTCTGAGAAATGACACAATTATGCTGCTGTGACATTACTTATCCCGTCACATCGTCGTGCAGTGTGACACCCGACCATTTATAACCCACGTTATCACCCTTCCTCGCAGCACCTCAGCCGAGGTAACGCCACTGTTACGACGCTGTAAACTCCCCGTGGGCTTCAGCCCGAGTGTTTGTTCTGTCGTTGACAGTCCTTTAGATGCTGTTAACTCCCCGTGATCTGTTGCTCAAGTGTCCGTGTGTTTCTGCCTTCACGTTTTACAGCGCTGTTAGCATGCTGACGATTGATGATACAGCCTGCTCTATACGGCCCAGTGTCCCGTCAGCGCTAACACCGCCTGATCTCCGCGCCCCGGTAGCTCACCGTTCGCAGTTGAACGAGTGTGTCTGTTCGCCCTTTACTGACCTCGCCGTTACTTCGGCTGCCATCGCCAGTTTGTATTGATTTGTATTTCTGTCTGTTTGTTCGACAGGTTATGTGTGATACCCGTGACGATGCTGGTGCAAAACCACAGCCGCTGCGACCTGGTGGTACATCTCTCGACCGTACCTGTGGGCAGGTGAGTAGTCACATGACCAAGCAAATCCTGAGCGGCTGACTCGGGCTAGTTAGGTCCAGACCTCTGAGAAACTCGATGACCTTGACTTATACCGCTTTAGAAATGATGAACATAGCGAAGGAAACAATCCCACTCGACGTGAAACTTCATCAGGGAACTACGAAAAATCAAGGCGTGTCCTTTTATGATGCGTCTCTCCGTCACTCAGATCCCACGAGAGTTGAAATTCTCGCGCTGAGCGCGCCGCCAGCGCTGGCCCATTGCCGTGACTTCACGTGAAGGAGCGGCTGTCGGGAGACCGTCGTCCATTCGCAGCTATTGTTCAGTTCTGCTGAAACATGCATGGACCCGAGCACCAGTTGCGGAAGTGTTAGCACTCCCCGAGGCTTTCCCGTCTCGACTCTTGCATAGGATATTGTGTTCTCGAATGGAACGGAGTTCTTTACTTCACCACTGTGGCTTTTCTGTATCAGCCATATATTTTCTCTGAGGCGCCGGTGACTCGTAAATGGTCTTCAAATGAGGGTGAATCGAGAGCATTTACACAATAAAAGAAAAGCGTCGTCATCAGAGAGCATTTGTATTCGGCCATGTGGCAACTTGGCTTTACATGGCGCTCTTGGAAATGTGTTATTCATGCCGCTAAAGCCGCAGTGTTTTGAACTCATAGCTGAAGCATTTACGGTGCAGATGCAGTCGGCCAGAAGCTAAGAATGCATTATGGTCCCAATCCGTGGCTTTCTGAACAGAGCATTCAGTGCGTGGGATATACTCCGCACGAGGCGTTAACCAGTGCACCAAGCCTGCACCACCAAGAATGAAAGCGCTACCAGCAATGTAATTAATGGCGAACTATTTAGCGAGCAGAGGCCTCTTGCACCAAAATCCTCTTGCACCAATGCTTGGATTATTTTGCATCGTATACCCAGTCTAAGTCTCAAATGTAACAATTTGCGTGCAAAATTTAGCAAGCACATGTAGGATTATGTATTGGGCTATTGCAAACAAATTTACCACCGTTAGATTAGCTTATTCTGAAACCGGTTTTTCGATTTTACCTAGCTGGGTAGTTTGGTGCAAGAGGCCTCAGCTTAATTGATGGTGTATGTACCCTATCATCCTCCAGTAGTATAATATATAATAGTAGTAGTATAATTAAGTAGTATAATTTCATAGAAAAGTCCACGCTGGGATCCCATTAGCTTTGCACAATCGGTGCAGTGTCTTGAGAAGGTGGAGCGGGCTAAAGAAGTTGCACAGAACTGCGTAGGTTCACCCGGTACGGGCAATTAACATTTCGCAGTGTATCGGTAGGTGGCCTACATTAGTCTGAGTCGCTACGAGGATAAAGTAAATCTACTTATGTACTTTGTTTTAAGTTTCTCCTTGTTCTACTTTGTCGAGTTTGTTCAACCTCTGTTGAATACTATCTTTTACACCTGGCAGGCAAAAGTTTCTTGCTGAGTTCGTCCTGTTGTAACCCAAGTTCTTAAAACAACCACTTTCTCACAACTCATATTTTGTCCTTATATTTAGATTTTAAAATGTAAAATAAACAGTATCTTTCATCGCAATTACATTGTATCGGCAACCGTGTTTAATTTCGGAATCTTTCGTGTTTCTCCGCGTCCATGTATTTGTGAGTGGGAAGTTTTAGTTTACAAACTCAATTTCCCAGTTTCTGAAACCAATTCTGGCCACCGTTCGAATTAATGGTCTGCTGGACCAAGTTCGATGCCCGGGAAGGCCGTTCGTTCAATAATGTGTCAGCTGCCGGCTACTGCTCCGGTGTTTGATTGTTTAGAAGCTCTGTTCTGGAAAGCAATTTCCGTGCCTCAGACACATTTGTTTCTCGTGCTGCTGTTCGTTTATTGATTGTTCAATGATGCGTGGATATCTAGCGGTGTAGGTTAGTCTGTCATTTGTTTCCAAAGTAGGTACCTTTAGTGATTTTAAATTTCATTTACGAGGTGAAAGACAACGCTGGTTTATTGAGGTTTTCGTGAGCAGAGTGGTTGAGGTTGAGATTTGTTTATCAATAGGTTTCGTAACATTTTACAACTTTTAGCTTTTATTCGTAACCTCTTTAATAAGAATATTTTCTTTTGACTGCTGATTAATGTGCAATGCATACTATGCTATGCTCATATTAACTAATTCTGGTTTAAATTTTGTATCATGATCAATATCGACAGAAAAGTCCTTCCATCTCATTTGTTTCTCTCAGTCTCGATCAAATTTGTTCAATGTTGCTCCTCTAAGCCTCTGACAAAAAGCTGCTGGACCGTGACCCGTTGGTAGACGAGTATTCAGACCCGCCGCACCGTCCGACCTTCTGACCTCCGCTCACATTTCCCCGATGACGGCGAATCTGTCGGACGCCGGTGGCGGCGGCGGCGATCTCATTCCGATGACGCTGGTCGGCCGGGGGCGGCGGCGGCGCTATTCCGCTCCCGACACCGGTCGTATTCGGCTATAAGCCTTGCCGAGATTGAGCTGGCCGCACGGGAGTGCCGGGGATAAGGGCCGTTACCGGCTCTAATCGCGCGGGGGATGGGAACGCGTCGGTAGCGAACGATCTGCGCACCGGGCCGGACCGATCCGCGCCGAGCAGACCTAGCTTGGTCCAATGTGGTCCGGGCATCTCGGCCCCTGTCTGGCCTGGTCTGACTTGGTCCAGTCCAATCCTGGTCCATCCCGTTCCGTTCCGACTCACTCCGCCGGGGCCGCGCATATTCATGCTCCCGGGCTCGCGGGCGAACTTTATGTAAAGCCGCCGTCGGGCCGACGCTGTAGGCGGTTTATCGTCCGAAATGGTCCGTTCGGGCGGGCCTGTCCGGCGAAATGACCGGCAGGGGAGTGCGTCAGATCGCCGCCGAGCGCCGCTAGTAACAATGGAGGAGCTGTTAAACGACGGCCGTGGATCGGAACCATGGAGAGAGGACAGGAGCCCCCGTGTGTGGCGCGGCTCTGAACGGTAGGGTTGGCGTGAAGGGGTTGGCTAGGCACGGAGGGCGTTCGTGTCTGGTGGTGACAGAAATGATATATCGCTAGCAATTGGCAGCGATCCCAGCCGTCCCGGTTTTACATATGCGCATCTCGCCTGCGCTGTCCTCTGTGGAGGACGGACTGCCCGGTGTCGATGCGTCTGCCCGGCTGTCCTGATGTAATGAGGTCCACTCACGCGCTCGTTGGCCCGCTCACGCACCCCGCGGGCCGCGGGGACGGGGTCGTCCTGAGAGGTCTCTGGGCACTGCTGGTGGGCTCTGGCCAGCCCTGGACGGCCCGGAGCTGGTAATCCTATTCCTGGAGCTCTGCGAACAGAGAACCGCTCTGTATTACGTGGGACGCTGTTACCTGGCGGGGTTTGTGCTCCCATACGAGGGCGTGGAAATCCGTGTTGAGCAGAACTGTTCATGGTGCCGTATTTTTGTTATGGTTTATGAGAAACCTGAAGTGATATGCAGATGGCTGGTTGAGGCTTATTTGTACGACGAATAGTTTCGGGCCGTTTCCGTCGTTTGTTTCTCCAATTATACCATGAAATGTGTCCAATCAGACACACTTTTTCCTCTCAGACACCTCCATCACTCCTATGCTCTTCCTCCTTCCTCTCCCCTGCACCTCCCGCTCCTATCTCCCCCTCGTCCCCCTCGTCCCCCTCGTCCCCCCGGTCCGTCACCTCGATTGTGTGGGTAATTGGCTGCTGCCGAACTCTGATCGATCTCACATGGTGTGCCGCGCCACGCCTCGAGCTGTAGAGACCTGGCGAGATGCCGGGATGGCAGTCTTTCGGAGGAGGCGGGAGGAAATGGTACGGGAATGCCGGGAATGTAGGGGTAGTCTGCAATAGACCGCGGCTAATTTTGATGGAAACTTCTTGTGACATTCTGCCAATTTAAACTTGAGTTTGCAAGCGGTTCTGTTTGCAGTAAAAATGCACGCCGTTGCGTTTCTTCTAAAGTTTCGAGCTGTCTTTCAAGATTGTAGTTTTCTAGTACTTTAGGAAGACTTTTTGACAGATTTGCGACATGTGGTCGGTGGATTATACGGCCTGCACGTCGAACCGTCACATCTGCGCCCGGCGAGCAATCTCTGCCCCACCAGTGAGACATTATGCGTCAGTCCACTGATTATGATCGATTATGCTGATGGCTCGGCTATATGCGACGCTTGGCTCTGGGAAGGCTCCATCACCGTTTCTTGCGGCTCTCGCTAAGCTTCTACCCCAAATCCCCTCAGAAAGCCGCCTCGAGTGATATCCTGCAGAGCCCTGTGATTTGAGTCCTTGATTGTCGTCGCCCGTCTCGTCAGCCGGTACTGTCCGTCCGACCCGCATGACCGTCCTAACCCGTCCGTCGGTCCCGTCCGCTCGTCTCTCGCTATCTCTGTGTTCTGACGGCGCTGACGGATGCCCCGTCGGCCGTCCGTCTGCCGCCCTGTCCTCTGTGGCGTCCGGCCCCCTCGGGAGTTGTCCCGCAGCGCCGTATATTTCGGCCGCGTCCCGACCCCGGCAGATTTGTGGCTAAACGCGAGCGGGACCATAACTCCGAGCGCTGCAGCCGGCCGTCTCATGGACAGAATCTCCCGGCGCCAGTGTCAAATGGTGGTCTGAATGGGCCGTCGTATGACACCGATTATGTCGCTACTCCGTCACAATATTAGCATATTTCACTGGTCAGAGCGGAGCCGGCCGTAAAGAAGCATTACATTGCTGCTGGGTTTAGGAGAGAAACATTCAGTACTCCATCCGTAGTCGACTGTGTAGCATCCTAGTTGTGTAATTTGTTTAACTACTAAGTAAGCTTCTCTACTTTGTTTTCATATTTACTCTGGTTTGTTATCCTCCCGCTCAACCATTCTATGTGCAATTCGAGACGACCTGGCTGACTTAGGAACGTGCTTATTTCTATTTAAGCTCAAGTGGAACCCAGTCAACCTCCGCTGGCTACCCCGTTTAGCCGGACATGGGAACACTTAGAGCACGGTGCAGCTGAACA